ATTATAAATAGTAGACCAGGGCTATAGATTATTATTATAATAGTAAACCAGGGCTATAGATTATTACGATAATAGTAGACCAGGGCTATAGATTATTATGATAATAGTAGACCAGGGCTATAGATTATTATGATAATAGTAAACCAGGGCTATAGATTATTATGGTAATAGTAAACCAGGGCTATAGATTATTATAAATAGTAGACCGGAATATAGATTATTATGATAATAGTAGACCAGGGCTATAGATTATGATAATAGTAGACCAGGGCTATAGATTATTATGATAATAGTAAACCAGGACTATAGATTATTATGATAATAGTAAACCAGGGCTATAGATTATTATGATAATAGTAAACCAGGGCTATAGATTATTATGATAATAGTAGACCATGGCTATAGATTATTATGATAATAGTAGACCAGGGCTATAGATTATTATGATAATAGTAGACCAGGGCTATAGATTATTATGATAATAGTAGATCATGGCTATAGATTATTATGATAATAGTAGATCATGGCTATAGATTATTATGATAATAGTAGACCAGGGCTATAAATTATTATGATAATAGTAGAACAGGGATATAGATAATTATGACAATAGTAGAACAGGGATATAGATGATTATTATAATAGTAGAACATGGATATAGATAAATATTATGATAGTAGAACAGGGATACAGGTGATTATTATGATAGTAGAACAGGGATACAGGTGATTATTATAATAGTAGAACAGAGATACAGGAGATTATTATAATAATAGCGAGGTATGTAAATGTTCGAAATGGACATAGTGCGAGTGGTTAGTGCTAGTACCACTAATCCGAAAAACTACGAGATCTAGTGCTAATATGGCACTAGATCTAGTGCTAAAATGTACATAGTGCGAGTGGCATTGATATCGCCTTGTCAATTGCGTCAAGATATCCCTAATTCTCTGAAAATAAATTAATATTTACGTACAATTGTTGTATCTTTCATTCATTGGAAATGTGCTACCGTGGGAAAATTGAGAATGTCATTGTCCACGTTTGTCGTAATAGACCTTTGGAACAACACGATCGGCTGGGAAACTAGCTGAAACAGTGAAACTGCAGGTCGAACGTCGCAATTTTTAAAAATTGTGAATAGATATACTGTATGAAATGGTATTGTGGGGAAGTTTGTGTTTTCAACTTTGGCGAATAGAAACTTTATGTAAATGGTGGAATTCAGCGTTGATTTTTTTTTAAATCGCTGATGTGCCGTTTTATTTCTGGTTGGTGCCACACTTGCCACATGAAAATAGATCTTCGAAAATGAAATTATGATGCCTTATGTGAACTAAAAAAAAATGGTATACTCCTAGTCTAAGTCCCGGGTCCCTGTAAAGCTCGGTGGATTTTGTGTGTGCTGCGACCTGTGAATGGGCATATACATATTCACGCAATTCTGTTGTTACATTGTATCATGGAGGAACTAACGGAATATGATGTAACCTTACCGATTTTTTGATTTTTTAACGTGGCCATATTATATATGTCTAGACACTTTCTCTGCAATAATATTTTTTAGGAGCCCTTAGGATTTTTTGTTGTTGACTCTCGAAATCTTGTTCTTGTTACAGTTGCTAATAATTAAAACATGTGACAAGTTCGTCTGTTGAATTTCCGGTTGTGAAATACGTATTTTAACCCTTCCCAGCTAAACAAATCCAGTGTATGGCCGCGTTAAAAAAAATGGGACCAAGAAATCGTCTAGGGCGATTTTTCGTCAGTTTTTAAATTTATTTTTTTAAATATTTTGTCGTAATTTATCGGACATTTCAATCGTTCCTGTCGCCTAAATCAGTCTATTCTCAGACTAGTAATACAAGTCTGAGGTCTATTTAAGTTTTTATTCAAGAGCGTATTTATTGTGACAAGCGTAAGCTCCGTTTGGACAAAGAGCTGTTATCAATGTAAACAATGTTAAATTATTCTTCTTATGCTAAGTTCATCTTTGAAAACATCTATTTTTTTATTTAAAAAAAATCCAAGCCAAAAGAGCGTACAACATCGGCAAATCTCTTCCGCGTTGCGTTCAATAACATTAACATGATTTGAACGTGTCGGCATCATCCAGCATTTTGATTGGTTAATTAGCGATTTGACCTATTAGCTCAACTCATGCAAGAGAAATATGGCGGATACCCTGCCGCATCGATATTTTTTGTGCGTTATTATAATCACTACTGAGTAATAATCAACGTTTATGAAACGTGCATGTCCGGATTGAGCATCTGTGATCACTTGCCGGGATCGCTTGCTGCTACGCAATGCAGTTGTGTTTGTTACCTTCCATGGTTTTTATTAGAAACGTTGTTTAAAATATACTTTTGTTACCAATAAAATAAAAACAAATGTATTTGAAAAATTACACTGGGCGACACTGTAATGACATTTCAGGTGGTGTACTTTTTAATTCAGCAAGAATTATTAATTATTGTTAATTCTGCAATAGTTTCTATCGTCTTGGGTGGCCCAACGGATGGCGTAGAAAGTCTGTGAAGTTGGATACAATGAAAATGTCCCCCAAAATATTTGATAATAATTTTTTGAAATTTTGAAACCCCAAATAAGCGCCCATCAGCCGTGAAATCCTCAGGGCGATTTTTCGGATGGGCGAATTTACGGCAGAATCCGGTATTATATAAAAACAGTATTATTATGGACATCTCCCGCATATTGCCGATGTTTTATACTGTTTGTAATTTGCATATGAAAGTGGTTGTTGATGTCCCTTCTATTATTCGACGTCGTTGACAATGCGATAACAATGCCACTCGCACTGTGCACATTTTAGCACTAGATCTAGTGCCATTTTAGCGCTAGATCTAGCGCCATTTTTGCACTAGATCTAGTACTTTTTCGGATTAGTGCTACTAGCACTAACCACTCGCACTACGCCCATTTCGACACATTTACATACATGTAATAGTAGATGGGCACTAGATGGTTACACTAATAATAATAGCACAGCGACATAGATGATTATACATGTAGTAGATTCATTATAGTTGTCCAGGATGATAGATGATTATGATAAGAGACTAGGAACATAGATGAATAAGTAATAGTAGAACACTATTATAGATATTTTATTAATACATGTAGTTGAAAATGACTATAGATGATTATAAAAACAGGAGACCTGGATAGATGATTTACTGATAGTAGACAGACTAGATAACCTCAATAGTAGACTGGTAATTATAGATTATGATAATGACTGAGGACTATGAATCATGATGGTAGCAGATTAGGACTACGGTATATATGATTATGATAATAGTAAACCAGGGCTATAGATGTTTCATTGATAGTTGACCAGCACTAAATGTAGTAGAGCGAGTGGCTATGATAATAGTAGACTTGGGATATAGACAATTATTATAATTGTAGATTAGGGCTATACATGATAATAGGACATGCATATACATTTAGATGATGATAGACTGGGGTTACAGGTTGTTATGATAATAGACAAACACTAGATACAAATAGCAGGCCAGCTATAGATTATGATGATGGTAGACCGGGCTACAGATAATTTATGAAGCAGCTTAGGACTTTAGATGATTTTATTCACAGTAGGCCGAGACTATAGATTATATTAATGGCTGACTATATTATGATAAAGGTAGACAAGGGCTAAATATGATTATGATAATAGTGGTGTTGGGCTATATATTAATATGTTAATAGACTGGAATTATGACCATAGCAGATTGGGACTATAGATTATGATAAATGCATGGCCTAGGATATTATAAATAACTAATAACAAGCAGCCT